TGACCTCCACATGCTCTCAGATGCAAACGCCGTCTCCTATCCATCCCGCTTTATTGCCACCAGCGGCAGGACAGACGGTCCGCCCTGCGCGCTCGGTCGCGGCCGAACGACTTCAGTGATGGAGAGGGTTTATAGGAGGGCAGCGCGCTGGAGACCACCTTGACCCGTCCCTCCGCAGACCCCAGATCCCCACACCCAGCTCACCTCAGCTCTTGAGTTATTATCATAATTTCTCATGGCTCCATGTTTTACAAAATGTTTTGTGTTTTATTGCCTGAGAATCAGATGCAGGTGCGGCAGCGAGCGCCGGCGTGATAAGAAAAGCAGTCATGTGAAAAATGAAAGGGGCCACATGTCCGGCAGAGAGAGAAGTGAGGGTCAAATAATAAAATACATGACAAATGCACCGGCAGTATTTCATGCTCAATGTGAAATGCACACACAAACACACGCACACACCAAATTCACATACAACAAAAACTCATGAATACAATCAAGGTTAAAAAGACAAATGACAAAACCGATTGAAGCTGATTGGTGTTTTTTGGAGCTTGACAGATGTGGTCAGTATGACCCTAAAGATTCATCAAAGTTGTGCACAGTAATGTTTGGTTTACGTTACGCTGGTCAATACCACAGTTGTCTTGGACTGTCTTTTTTATCTCATAATTATGACTTTTTATTTCATAATGTCAACTTCATCTCCTCGCGACCCTTTGGAGAATGGATTGATATAACTTTTTCATAATTATGACTTAGTATGTCATAATTGCGACTTTTTCTCAGAAAATCATTTAATTTTGACTTTAGTCTTTATTATGACTGCCATAATTTCAACTTTTTATCTCATAATTGTGACATACTATCACGTTATGCAATAATTATGTATTTTATCTTATAATTATGACTATTTCATAATTCAACTTTTTGTCAGAATTATGATCACATTATTTTGACTATAGTCAAAATATTGGTTTGGAGAATGGATGATGGAACTTTCTCATAATTATGACTTAGTATGTCATAATTGCAAATTTTTGTTATAATTATAATCTCTTTATTGTGACAGTTTATCTTGTAATTTTTGACTCATAATTTCAACTTTTTATTTAATAACTGACTATATCATAATTTCAGTGTTGTCATAATCTCATGATTATAACTTGTTATAATTTTGAATTTGTCATAATTACGACTTATCTCATCATTTTTGACTGTTATATTTAAACTTTTCATCTCATAATTGTGGCTATGTAACAACTTCAGTGTTGTCATAATTATTATGACTTTATCTCTTGATTATGACATGTTATAATTTTAAATTTGTCGTAATTATGACATCTCATAATTTTTGACTGTTATATTTCAACTTTTTCTCTCATAACTGTGGCTATGTAATAATTTTAACATTGTCATAATTATTACTCTTTCTCACATAATTTTGAGTTTTGTTATAATTTTTTGTTTATAATTTGTTGTTATAACTGACTTTTTATATCAATTATTTTTATCTAATAATTTATGGCTGTTATAATTTCAACTTTTTATCTCATAATTGTGGTGTGTTATAACTTCAATGTTATCATACTGAAGACTTTTTTTTTTTTTGAGTTCTGAAAGTTACAGTATGTTTCCATAATGAATGACTCGATTATCTCTAAGGATCAAGGACAGTTTGATTCCTCGTGATATGCGTCTTAGTGCATTAATGCCCCGATGTATCTACACATATGAAGTCATGTGCTTTCTTGAAGCCAAACGCAGTGAGGAATCAAACAATGCGGCCCCTGATAAGAGGTCGGGACCCGAGGCCCGGCACGCGGTCGGGCAGGTATAAGCGTGTGCTCATAACATCCCGTGACTTCCACGCTTGGTCACGTCTGTCTGCACCCCTCACTCTCCCATATCTCTCAATCTGCACATTTTCTTACACTTTAATTACACGGCCGTATATTGCCCTGGGCCGTATGGATGGGCGATACTGAGAGCAGATAAGATGGAGGAGCTTCTGTCACCAACCAAACATATTAGAACAGCACCAAAGCCAATTATCTCCATTCTGAACGACAATTAAGCATCCGACTCCGGCAGCTTCGCTTTTAAAGCCAGAGGGCATTTTTAATAAAAATGTATGACTTCCCCTGGTTTGTTTTACTAGCCATGAGAACGAGAGACAGGAAGAAAAGACTTGCTTCTGATTAATAGGTCAAGAGCTTTACATCAAGTATGCATTCAATTGATCAGAAGTGAGAGTAAAGACATTTATAATGTTACAAAACAAAAGCAGCAAATCAGCATATTAGAATGATTTCTGAAGATCATGTGACACTGAAGACTGGAGTAATGATGCTGAAAATACAGCTTTGATCACAGAAATAAATTACATTTTACTATATATTTACATTTAAATCAGCTATTTGAAATTGTAATAATTTTTCACACGCAGCCTTGGTGAGCAGAAGAGACTTCTTTCAAAAACATTTAAAAATCTTTCAACCCCGATCTTTTGAACAGTACTGTAGTTTATCAAATGCAGTTCTCATGCATAAGACACTCACTTGTCTTACAGAAATAGTTCTAAAAATGAAGCTTCCGTCATCATTTATTCACATGATTTTTTTCCCCCAAAAGCAGTAAAAATCCTTACTGTCAATTTTCTACTTTGGCATTGCTCTCAAATCTCAATCATGTGCTTTTGCAAACTTGTCGCAATTGTGATGAGTTACATGATACATGACAACCAATGGTGTTTGGCCTCAATGACATCTAGAGATATTTTAATCTTAATCCTGTAAAGCCTGACATATGACACAATAATCTGAAAAAATAAAAAAATCTGAAAGAAGTTCCAAATAAAATTTGATCCATCAGGCTTTTACGGCTCATATAGTCTGACATAGTGAGAATATGGAGAAAAAACGTCTCAGGTTACTTATGTAACCATGGTTCCCTGAGTAGGGAACGAGACACTGCGTCCTCTATGGGTCGCTATGGGGAATGCCTCGTCGTGACCCGTGTCTGAAGCATACATTGAAAAAACACCAACTCGTTGGCCGGCGACAGCCATGACGTCACTACCGGTGCGACTATAGTATAAATAGGCGACGGGAGCTACACATCATTCACTTCTTCGTCTGAAGCTTGCGTCCGCAGCATGGCAAGAAACCTAGAGGACGCAGTGTCTCGT